CCATGTGACCAAGTCTTCCAATTTTTGCTCTATGACTTGAGTGTTGCTTCCACCAAGTGATTTTGATGATCTTGGTTTCTCGTTTGGTTGTAAGAAAACTCTAAGATGAAGTCTGCTGGTGCTTGGACTTTGATAGTGGTCCGCAGGGTATACTTCAGGTCGAATTGGCTTAATTCCATAGCCCATTGGATCAATCTTCCTAAGGACTCTAACTTCTAGAAGATCTTGTGAAGCGAATAGATTGTCAAGATCAAAATTGTGTGAGTTTGAAAGTAAAGCCACAGTTTTCAGATGCAGTTAAGAGAGCTAAAGCAGCTTTTCTAACTCAAGGTAGCACGTCTCTAAATCAAGTAGGGGCTTGCTCACGTAGTAAACTGGCCATTGGACCTTTTCTTCTTCTTAAACTAGGGCTACATTGATGACATACAGTGATGCAGATAGATATAATAAGAGCTGTTCATCTAAGGTCGATTTGGACAAGAAAGAAGGTTGCCCAATATGGCTCTTTAGCTCCTAGAAGGCGCGTTCGCTTCCTTTATCCACTAGAACTATTTGTAGCTCTTTAGCACTTCAAAGAAAGACAAACATTTATATGTGGCTTGGGAGACGAATCTGCTAACTGTCGTGATTTGTTCGGTTAGGCTCTACACCTACTTAAGCTTTGCCAGGCTTTCCATATTCAATAGTGTTGGATCTTTTCAGGTTGGCTTCGATCCCGCGCTAGTTCACCATGTAACTAAGGAACGTTCCCAAGCCTAGCCCAAAGGCACATTTCAAGGGGTTGAGCTTCATCTGATATTTCCTTAGGATACGGAACATCTCATTGAGGTGCTTTACATGGTCTTCCTCCTTTGGCGATTTCACTAGCATGTCATCAAAATAGACCTCCATCGTTTTTTTCAATAAGGTTGGTGAACATTTTGTTTACTAGCCGCTAGTAAGTTGCCCTAGCGTTCTTCAGGTCGAAAGGCATGACTTTGTAGCAATAAAGGCCTTGATCTGTAATGAACAAGGTGTGCGGCTTGTTAGGTCCATACATTAAGATTTGATTGTATCCTGAGTAGGCATCCATGAAACTGACTAAGGAATTCCCTATTGTGGCATCCACTAACTGATCGATTCATGGGAAATGAAAGTTGTCCTTGGGACAAGCTTTGTTCAGATTCATAAAGTCGATGCATGTTCTCCATTTGCCGCTCTGCTTTATGAGGAGAACAAGATTGGCAAGCCAATCTAGGTATTTGACTTCTCTGATGAACTTGATGTTGAGGAGCTAGTCGAGCTTCTCTTTAAATGCCTGAGAACGTTCCACGTCCATAGCTTGTCTCTTCTGATGGATTGGACGGGAGCCAATGTCGATATTAAGGCGGTAACACACGATCTTAGGATCTATCCTGATCATGTCAGCGTGCTCCCAGGCAAAAACATCTAGGTTTTCTTTTAGGAAAGCGATCAAGCGATCTCGCATTCTTCCTTCGATGTTGCCCTCTATTCTGAGGGTGCGTGAGAGGAAGCATTCATCCATGAGGATCTCACATAGCCCCTCAACTAGGCCGATAGGTGGCTCATCCTTGTGCACGCAGAGGTTGAGATTGTCTTTGATCAAATCGGGTTGCTGTGTAGAGTCAGTAGCCATTACGATATCAAGGCGATTAGTCGCTGAGGACAAAGCATCAATAGTGACAGTCATCAGCACACAAACAACCTTATATTAAAACATTCAAGGGTGAAAGCCCTTCCTCTAGTGCCAAGATGTTGATGCGAATTTTCATAACAACTAAATCGCCAAGACATCAACACACACCAACTAGAGATACTCGGTTGACTCTTGGGAGAATCGAGTAAGATGGATGTGTGATTCCTGGGAATCAGCATTAGGGACCCGTGTCACATGCGGCAGAGCTCAAGGTAGTGATAAGCCTCCTAGCAGATGATAGATAAACTAGACATTTTTAAAGTGGTTTGGCCGTGAGTACGAATAAGGCCTATGTCCACTATTATTTTATTGCTTTGTGTGGTGTTAGGAATACAAAGGATGGATTTTTTCGATCATCGAAAAAATCCTTCTAATTAGCCATGAAGGCTAGCAGTACAGAGGGATGCTCTGTTCTTTTTTCTTTTTTCTTTGTGTCTCTTTTTTGTGTGTATTTCTTTCTTGTGTCTTGTCTCCTTCCTCTCTCCTATGGCTGCTGCCCTTTTATACAGAGAGAGTTTCAAAATGTCATGATGGTGAATGCGTTAGCCACGTTACTCGATGTTGCACGGTGGTTGCAAGCTCACATGCTCCTATGTTGTAGCTAATGATGGATGTGCCCTCTGACAGTATGTGCCTTTATAGGTATCCTCTTTGCTGGCTTGCATGGAGAACATGTGGAGCTTGTATGGTCGCATGTCGTTCAATCGGATTATGCATCCTATACATGGTAAGTTGATCTGTCTAAGGGCACAGATATTTTCTTGGAGTGGGTCCCCTTATTGATCTCATCACACCTTACATTTGCACTTTCTTTTAAGAGCTCAGGTTTTTTCCTCGATTAGTCCTTCTTTCGAGGCTTGATGCTCCCTTCGTGCTAAGAGTTGTCTCGAGCTCCTTCGCTCGGTCCGGGCTTCTATGCTTAATCCGGGTTGGGGATTTTTCCGCACAACACCTCTAATTAAGTCTACCTACATCAAAAGATTTATATTTAAGCTTCCTTTGTTTAGTTTATAGTTCACTGTTTCCAAGTTCATCTTTTTTACGTAAATATCGTCCTGGATTTTTTCTATATTTTTTATTGATTTTTTTGGAACTTGAGGTCCAAGGAGTTTCTTGAAAATAATGTATTTATCTTATCTTGGCAATAATGCGATGGCAACACATGTTTTCACAATGAATGACCCATAATTCTGCCACCCGTTGTTAGCACAAGGCTTCTTCTATATACATTCAAAATTTCTTGGAATAATTTAATGACCCATAATTATGCATGAATATCTGGAACCTTTTGTTTGATTGAGGTTTTACGGGCAATACTATGGTTATAATGATTATTTTTTAGATGGCAACACATGTTTGGTATATTTTTGAAAAATATTTTCTGCAAATATTTAGATTATTTTTTAACCCACTATATTTGTTAATTTAACTAAATACCTACCATAATAAAAGTTTATAAATTAACAAAAACACTCCCAGCAACCAACTATTATCGACACCTAACCACCACTACCGAACGGTGGCCGGAAGTCGTCAAAATGGCACACAACTGACTAGATTTGGCTAGTCTTGCACCGATATGGCCGTTGTTGACGACTAAAGTTCTGGTCATCATTTGGCCGTCATCAATGACCAGATCTGGCTATCAACAGCTAGATCTTTGGTTGTAGATTTAGTTGTTTCTGACCAGTTCCATGGTAGATTTAGTTGGAAATGACCATATCAGTTGTCTAGTGATGGTGGCCAGCTGTCGGCAATAGTTGGGTGGATAGGGGTGTTTTTGTTAATTTATAAACATTTGTTATGAAAATTAATTGTTAAATGTTTTGATTTGAATAGAATAGGATTGGATTTTGAATTGAATAGTCAATATTAAAACAAATAGTATTTCACTGGATTGGATATGATGGGGTTTGAAAAGTTAAACAAAGGGCGGGGGTGGGCTGTTTTTCATTTCACCTACTAACTTAACAAATTTAACATTGCTATGGTTCATTCATTTATATATGCTTTTGGATATAAAAATATATAAAACCCAAAAGTTAATTCTTGTAAGAGGGGAGAAACATTAACTAATTTTGATTATAATCAGGAATTTTAGTTTAATTTTCAAATTGTAAACTCTAATTGACCTAAATTTATTTTTCTTATTTACTAACTACATATATTAAACTTTGGATGAACAACAGAAGAAAGAAGAATAATAAAATATTTTATTACACTCACTCAAAATAGGAGGAATGGAGAAAAATGATGGAAGCTATGATGCATTGTATATTATCTTATTAAATCCTTCTTATTATTATTTTTATAATTTTCCGTCGGCTCCGATTCTACCCTATTTGTTTGCCCACCCCTAACTGATACATTTTACATTTAATTCATTAAATTAAACAATAAAACTCTAATGGAATAATTACGCCAAGGGGTAAATTGTTATTTGTTATACCTAAGGAAGAAAATTGTTATTCACTGATACCTCAGGGGAGAACGATAATGATCTCTTTAATTTTTTTTTTTTTTTATGAGCTATATATTACCTTTTCAAATAATTAAGATAAAATTTATGAAACAAAAAGAATACCTCCCCGGATATATAACTATTAAATTCTTTTCCTTCTGTTTTTACTTTGTAGCTTCTAAGTTTGTTGGTTACGTGACTTGAATTGCTTCATTTTTTTTTTTTTTTTCGTTTTGTTTGTTTCTTATTCTTATAGTAAAGCATGTGCTGCACTCTCTTAATTATTTGCGATGAGTTGGTATATTAGCATCTTCTAAATTTAAATGTCCTATAAATTTGTAATTATTAAATTTATTTAAAACGCTAACTTTTATATCGTCTTCAATATTAGTGAAACATCCAAATATATTGAGATATTTTATTGAAAAAGAATGTTATTTAATATCTTCAATGTAATTTTATGTTTAACGAATAATGTTATTAGAAAAAGACGTAGAAATTAATCTATAGTAATTAACAGATATATATTATATCAGAAGTGAAAAGAAAAATATTAGGACTATTTTAGAGGGAAAAAAAAAAAAAAAAAAGCTGGAGTTTGTTTAAACATTTATATATTTCTGAAACTTTTAATGGGATAAATAACACCTTTTTCCTTAATTACAATTTAATTGCATATTTAACACACATTGTGTGAAACATCTTACAAGCTCTTATCATTAGGGCCAATTTTTTGACCGCTTGTTTCGGGTTCATGAGTCTTTTTTTCTTCATTCCCTATGCGTTAATATATTATTGGGCAATATCAAATTATAATGTTGACTTTAGTAGTTTCTCTTATTTGCCAAAGTTTACAATTTGGCCCACAAATACAATTTCCTTATTAAAAGTCGAAAATAATGCAAAGTAAATCAAATCATAGGAGCCCTTAAGCAATGTTAACACTGTGGAGAACCAAAGTCTCAATAGTTAGCCCAGGACCAAACCCAAAAAGCACTCCCCATTCCAACCCCTCACCTGTAGTCTTTGACCCAACTTCAGTTGACTTCTTCCTCAGCTCATCCAAAACAAACAGTACAGTCACACTTGACATGTTACCATACTCAGCAAGCACGTGCCTAGTAGCAAGTAGCTTCTCAGGTTTAAGACCCAACTTGGCCTCAACTTGGTCCAAAATTGCAGGTCCACCTGGGTGTGCAGCCCAAAAGATTGAATTCCAATCTGAGATACCTAAAGGTTGGAATACCTCAATTAGTCTCTCCTCAATATGATTTGCAATAATGTCAGGAACTTCCTTCCCAATATGAATGGTAAGTCCGTGCTCACGAATACTCCCACAAATAGCCCCAGGGCAATTAGGCACTAATGTTGGGGCTGCAGAGACTAATTCAAATATGGGCTTTTCAACATTAGGAATTGGATTTGCACCAACTATAAGAGCTGCTGCACCATCCGCAAACAAAGAATGAGTCACAAGTACGTCGACATCAGTTTCACTAGGGCTATGGAAGCCGGCAATAGTTATTTCAACACAAACGATCAGGACACGTGCATTTTTAGTGTTCTCGGCTAAGTCTTTAGCTATACGAAGTATAGTGCCACCTCCATTACAACCTTGTTGATACAACATGACTCGTTTAATAGATGGGTCAAGCCCTAAGAGCTGGACAATTTGGTAGTCATACCCAGGCATGAATGGTCCCATAGTGCTACAACAGATTAAATGAGTGATTTTTGATTTGGGTTGGCCCCATTCCTCAATGGCCTTGATTGCAGCTTGCTTCCCTAGCTCTGGTACCAATGTTGCTGCCATATCTTGTCTAGTATCCAATGAAGGTGCCTTGTACGTAGCAATGTTTGGGTTTTCTTTCAAAACTTCTTTTGTTGTATACGTGTAACGTTTTTTTATCGTGGTTCTATCACCTGAAATAAAAAGAAATGTCCAAATTTTCTTTTTTTGAATCTGTTTTTAACAACTCAGGAATATTCATGACATAGAGAGAGATAAATGTAAACAATAGTACCTTTCAAATTAAGTCTTTTATCTAATGTTAACAACATCTCTTGGATCATAGTTAGATTATCTAAACAAAGGATTGATAACGTATTTTATCCTCTTGTAAGTATAAAAACACTTGAAATTTCATCTACTTTGGTTCTCATTCGTCTTGTAACTTTTGTTTACATAAAATGATTTTCTATTTTTCAAATTGTCAAAACAAGAAAAGTACATTATTTAATGGTTATTAAATAGGTTTTAAATAANGTTTTTAACAACTCAGGAATATTCATGACATAGAGAGAGATAAATGTAAACAATAGTACCTTTCAAATTAAGTCTTTTATCTAATGTTAACAACATCTCTTGGATCATAGTTAGATTATCTAAACAAAGGATTGATAACGTATTTTATCCTCTTGTAAGTATAAAAACTCTTGAAATTTCATCTACTTTGGTTCTCATTCGTCTTGTAACTTTTGTTTACATAAAATGATTTTCTATTTTTCAAATTGTCAAAACAAGAAAAGTACATTATTTAATGGTTATTAAATAGGTTTTAAATAACATTATATTAAATCTAAGATAATAGGACAAATATTTATTCGAAAACTTAAAGGATAATTAATAATTTATGTAGAAAAAATATTAGGGGTGAGCAGCTCCGGGTACTTTAATTTTTCGGCGAAACCGAAACCGCACAGTGGAGGTTTCAAAAAAAGGAATCAGAATCGGAACTGAAACCTAAAATGCAGGTTTCGGTTCCTCACCGGGGGACCCTATAAAAAATTAATTACCCCCTTATTAGTTTAAAAATGACAAAAATACCTTAAAACTTTACAAATATACCCCTAACAAATTAAGAACACCTACATCTAGTAGTTTTCAACTTTTGATTATCATTCATTTTTGTCCAATGTGGCTCATAAATCCTTTAATCTCTAGGCAACACTTGAATTCAATCAGTTCATCACAATTCACATAAAATTTCTCAATTAAAACCAAAACACAAACAGGCTCTAAGCAAGTTCCAAGCTAGGTATCCTCTTTGGGTTCTTTTCCCTGGTTTCAGTTATGGTTTCGGTTTCGGAACCTACAGGAACTGGAACCGGAACCACACAATGTCAGTTCCAATAAAATGGAAGCAGAACCTACCCAGATAGTGTCGGTTTCGAGTAGGTTCTGGTTCCGGTTTTGGTTCTACTTGCTACCCATGTTCACCCCTAAAAAATATTAAGAACAACATAAACTAAAGAAAATGAAATTAGAGAAGAGTAATATTTCTTACACATGCGCTGCATTTTGATTTTGACTGGCGTCAAGTGCTCAGAATTGGTCATACGAAAGTAAGCATCTGGGTATGCACTTTGCTCATACATAGTTGGAGGATTTGCCGTTCCAATTGCCATGACGGTGGCGGTGCCTTCAGCACGTTGAGCCCTGCGAACTTCCTCCACAGTAACCATTTTTCTCTCCAAGAAAATTATTAGTGCTACTGTGTTCAAGTTCTTTGAGCCTTGGTTGCTGTCTTGATGAGGAGGAGGAGAGGGATTTGTGGGTCATTATATACACAAAAGATTGATTTTTAAAATATTAATCATATATCATGAGTTTGTTAATAATAATTCTTAAACATCATGGAGAACAAGCAATTAGAATACTGGGAATGCAGAATAGTAGCATTTATTTTGGTTTACATTAAAGATCGTTTGCAGATTATTATTCATTAAAAGTTTTCCATGATCTAACACGATTTTGTAAAGAATATTCTCCAAACATGCATGTTATCGTAGCAATAAGTGGTGGCAGCACATGTTTTTTAATACATGGCCAAGGAATTGCCATCGTCATTAAGACATGGGTAACATTTATTATAAAGTATTATTTAGCTTACAGTTTGTCTAATTAAAATTACGAGGAAAATAATATTTGTCAATTTTTTATTAATTAGTCATTTTTTATATAGGGATGCGTAAATAGTATTTTAAAAATTATTAATATTAGTTTTTATTAGCATTCAAAATAATCATTGGCTTGAAATTTAGGCAATATCATAGTTGAGTGAAAGGTTGCATTCCATAGTAGTTTTACTCCAAAATATGAAACTTAAGGATAGAAGATTTGATTTAGAGAGAGAGAGAGAGAGAGAATCAAATGTTTCCATTAAAATATAATATTTTATCACATATGCTTGATTTGGCTATAGAAAATATGAGATACAAATGTTGATTCTTGTAGGAGTGGAAAAACATTAACTAATTTTGTGTAATAAGGAATTTCAATTTTATTTTAAACATGAAATTAATTAACTATATTTATTTTTATTATTATTGACAGAAAATGTGATGCTTTGGATGAATAATGGAAGAAAAAATTAAAATATCTTATTACAAATATATCCTTACTTAAAATAGAGATGGGAGTTAAAACGAAAATGATGGAAGCTAAAAATTATCCTTACAAATAATATTTATCAAGAGTTATGCCGTCAGCACCCTTTGTATTTTCTTATTAGATCACTCTTATTATTACTTTTATAATTTATCATTAGTTTTATTTTTATTTATTAGGTTGTAGCTTCCAAGTTCGTTGGTTGTGTGACTTGAATTGCTTCAATTATTCGTATACTTATAAGATGAAACATGTGCTTCACTCTAATTATTAGTGATAAATTGTTTTTGATTAGCATCTTCTATAATTTAATTTTCTGAAAACTAATTATTATTAATTTATTAATATTTTAAATTTTATAGTGTCTTCAATATTAGAGAAACTCCAAATATATGTTTTATATTTAGTGGATAAAAAATATTATTTATATAGTAATTCTATGAATGAAGAATGGTCTCATGAAACAAACCGAAAAAGGATATAGAAATTAACATAATAGTTAATGATATATACAAAATCTTATTGAAAGTGAAAACAAAATATTAGGACTAAAAGAAATAAATAGGATTTATATAAACATTGATATATATCTTTAAAAGTCTTAAGGGAGTGGTTTCAAAGAGAAAAAAAAAAAAAAAAAAAAACTATTATATGCAAAACTAATTTCATATTCTTGTTAACACACGAACTTTGTAGCTCTTTGAATAAGTTTTCCAACGCCACCAGAATCGTTGAATTCGATTACTACAGCTCAAGTTATGATGAAACATCGAGCATGCTCATCTTGAGAGATTTCTAGATTTTACGTTGTATTTTCGACGCGTCACAACTTTCTCATTTCAACTCCGATTCTGCACCATTTGTTCCTGTCGTCACGAATTCCATCAACATCATCTCTTTCCTTCAAATATCGGTTTGAACCTGAAAATACTCAAAATACACCCTTGATCCCGTAAAAGGATTTATAAAATAATCAATTCGAATTTCACAAATTAAACAATTTTTCTACAAATAATCCAATTAAATCACTAACAAATGTATATTTTCAAGCTCTTATCATTAACTCAAGTTATATTCTTATTTGATGATAAGAAACGAATTTCCCTAATAATTGTGCTATTGATTTGTGCCTAGGTGTGATTAGATGGCAAGAAGTTCCCAATGCATTCAAAAAAAAAAAAAAAATAGAGGAAAAAGACAAAGCTTAGTCTATCTGTATTTTCTTGTAATAATTTGAGTGTAAAAACATGAGTCTTGGTTAGAAAAGTCTTTTATGTGCCAAAACTCCAAGAACTTGTTTTTTTTTTTTTTTTTTTTTTTTTTTTTTTTTTTTTGGGGGGGGGATTTGGGCTAACATGTTCTTTCAAACTAAGGGATTAAACGGATATTTACCAAAGTTTCATATTGTACCGTTAAACCCATCTGGTAACGGATCATGCGTCCGGATTATGGGTTTTGAATTTTGGCTAAACTGTAATATTATAAACGTTAGGGTTTTTGGATTTTATTTGGGCCAAAATGTCATATTTCAAAGTTGTGGGGCTAAGTTGATAATTTCTTGTCAACATATGTCATCCGGTTCAGCATCCGGATTGGGCAAAAGCCAAATTTTTTGGGCTCTCTAATATGGTCGACCAATTGAATCCGATCGATCGGTTTGGCAATTGAATTTTCCCAAGGGCTAGTGTCAATGGGCACCACATAGGTGCCACATCAAATCCGATCAACCAAATTCAAGGCAGTTGACTAAATTTGTGGATTTTCAAGTGCGATTTTAAAGCATAATGGCTATATTTTCAGACTCCGTTATATAACTCACCAAACAAACCTACTTTTGACATTCTAAAACTGCATATACAAAAACTAAAAGTGTTTAAATCATTTTAGAGAGCTTTCACTTGCAAACCTCATTTTCTATCGCATACCCTATTATACATTTCATTTAAAATCTGTTGATTGGGTTATATTGGGCTATACACTTGTTCTACTCTTTGAGAGAGATTTTCATTGTTTATCAATCAAATTTCAAATTTAAAAGAGTGAGGTTCACTCTTGGGTTTCTAGGAAATTCTAGTGCGAAAAAGTAAGTCCTAGTGTGTGAGTGAGGGGTTTCAATTGCACCTTGTGAAGCATTATGTGTAAGGTTTAATAGCACATAGAGGAAAGTTATGTGTAAGGTTACTTGTTCATACCTGCTTGTCATAATTGTTCACTCACATGTTGCACTAGAAAAGGCCCTAAGTCACAATTGTTTGAATTTGCTCTATAGCTGAAAAAGCGACCTTAGGGCTTTAAAGGCTTAATTCAACCCCCCCAGGCGATTTCGATCCTCACTCTTATTGTGGTAAATAGCACCAATTCTTTCCTTAATTAGAAATTTAATTGAAATTGGAGACACTCGTGTAATGAATTATAAGCTCTTATCATTAGGGGCCAATTTTTTGACAAGTTTGTTTTAGGTTTAGGAATTTTTTATATATATATATTATATATTTTTTTTTGCATTTCCCATTGGCAATACATTATTGGGCCACATCATATTAAAATGTGGGAAGTGATTTTTTAACCCCACTATTTTATCTTTAGCCCCATTTTTTTTTTTTTTTAATAAATTAGGGTAAATGTAAAGTAAAGATGAAGTAAATATGAGGATTTCAACGACACTATTTGGCTTCTTCACACCCTTTCCACTCACCATCGTTAAGTTGTTATCTCACCTAAAAGTTAAGCTAGTAGTGAGGGCTGAACATATATTATACCAATAGGTCCCTCACATCAAACTTTGATTTTTTTTTTTTTTTCCATTTTCTTTATCGTTTGTATGTGAAGATTCGAACTTAAGACCTTTAACTTAATACCATGTTAAGTTGTCATCTCACCTAAAAGCTTAAGGATAGGTGAAGACTCAACATAATAGAGCCAATAACCACCACCTTTAAATGCTTATTGACTAGCATGCCTTGGGTTGATCATAGCTATGCTTCTATTCGTGGTTAATAATTAAACTTGTGTGAAAATTAGATTATTTATGTATATTCTTTATGAAATAATTACATAAAAAAAAAATAAGAGTCAAATTGAAATTTGACCCCTTTTTAATTGGCTTAGTAGATAACACTCATTCATCCAATTCCTCTTCACTCCAGCAATTAGGGAAAGCCACTTTAGTGCCGAGTCACTAGAGTCCAGTCAACTCTAGCACTAGAGTCACTCGACTCTTGCACTAGAGTAAAAAAAAAAAAAATTAATATTTTTTTTCATTTCTTAGTTTTAGAAAATTATAATAACTCTTATATACATTTACTATTCCTTTTTAAAAAAATATATTTTATTTGTTTATTTTGTTAATAAAATATAATTAGTTAATTTATTTGTTAGTTTGAAGAAATTTGATATTTAATTATAACACTAGTTTGGAGAATAATTAAAATAAAATTTTGAGTGTAGAGTCTTGTGGACTCTAGCGTTAGAGTTGCTAGAGTGAATGGATGAAAGTTGTGGAGGGGTAAAATTGGAACAAGTGTAGATGAAAGGCCTTATCTACTAAACCAATTAAAAAAGGTTCATACTTTAACTTGTCAAAAGCAAAAAGATCTTTTAAGTAGTTTTTTTCATTTCTTATTGAAAACTCAATGGCGATCAACCAAGCCACTGTCGGGTATGTCGTGGCTACTACGAGAAAAACTGAAAATGCATTTGGTTGGAGTTATATAAAATTATTGAGCTCATATCATCTTATATTACTTGATTTTTACATTTAGTTGTCAAGTAATATAAGAGTTTGGGTAATCTTCCAGTATCAATAGTAATTACTGTTGGTAATATAGAAGGTAATCTAATTACTTCTATTTTCTCATATATTTTAAGATTACTTGGTAATCTTATTTTTTTATATAATTTTATCTCTTATTAATAAAACTTTAAGACAATAATGTCCTTGTTTTAAAAACAATTTACAAAAATACCAATTAACTATTTTATCCTTATATACAAAGTTTTTAGGACATAAATGCTCCTAAAATTTTTTTAAAAAAAAATTACCCCAGGGTGGTGGCTAGATCTGGCCACCACCGCCAGTCGTCAGAAACCACCGTTGGCGGCGACGGAATGGCTCATGACTAGCCATATCTGACCAGTTGTATGGCGATAAGGCTATTTCCGATCATGGATCACAGATCCATGGCCTGAAACAGCTAGATCTGGCCTTTCACGACCATATCTATGATCGTTTCACGGCCAAAGATGTGGTCGTGAAATGGCCACAGATCTGGCCATGAACGGCCAAATCTCCACTTTTGCCGCCGCCAGCGGTGATGGCAAGCCATTGGCAATGGCTTGGGGTGGGTGGGGGTGGGTGTTTTTGTTAAGTTTTAAACTTTTTTTATTGCTAGAGTGTTTTAGCTAAGTCCGAAATGTTGGGGGTTAAAAGAAATTATTCAAATAATAATTATAAAAATAATATTATATTAATATTTAAAAATGAGGGCAGTCTAGTAATTTATGTAATATACCCACCAATTTATTCTTCTCTACTAAACATATTAATATAACATATCCATCAATTTATTCCAACCAATCAAACACATTTTCCTAAACATTTTCATTAATATTTAAAGTAATCTATCTTTTTATTAATATAACATTCGTAGTAATACAATATTCTCTTAACCAAACACACCCAAAGAGGTTTAGAGACCTTAGAATTAGAAATTTAATTGCATATTGGAGACACTCTTGTAAGACATTTTATAAGCTCTTATTATTAGGGGCCAATTTTTTGACAGTTTGTTTTGGGTTTAGGATTTTTTTTTTTGTATTTTGCATTCCCACTTGGCAGTACATTATTGGGCCACATTAGATTATAATGTGGGAAGTGAATTTTGAAACCTGCTCATTTTACTTCAGCCCCCACTTTTTTTTTATAAATTAGGGTAAAATTGTAAAGTAAAAATGAAGTTGTAAATTTATGAGGATTTCAACGACACTATTGGCTTCTTCCACACCCTTTCCACTCACCACACTTTCAGAATCCGCTTATATAACTAAGCAGTGCTTGGCTTTGATCAATATCTATGCTGCCGTTCGTGGTTAATAATTAAACTTGTATCAAATATATTAATTATATATATTATATATATATAATATATATATATATATTATATATAATATATATTCTTATAAAATAACTACTAAAAAAAATTAATAATATTTTGAAATTTGACTCTTTTTAATTGCCTTAGCAGATAAGATACTTTTACTCTTTCCGCTAGCAACTGGGGAAAGTCACTTTAGTGCTCCAGTCACTAGAGTCCAGACAACTCTAGCACTAGAGGAAAAAAAAATTATTCTTCTTTTCATTTCTTAGTTTTAGAAATTAAAATAGCTCTTATATACATTTACTATTCCTTTTTTAAAACAATATATTTTATTTCTTTATTTTGTTAATAGAATATAATTAGTTAATTTATTTGTTAATTTAAAGAAATTTTGATATTTAATTTCTAACACTAGTTTGGAGAATAATTAAAAAAATAAAAATCTAGTGACTCTAGTATTAGAGTAACGTGGACTCTAGTGCTATAGTCATTTTAGCCCTAGAGTTGCTAGAGTGAAGGCATGAAAGTTGTGGAGAGGTAAAAATGGAACAAGAGTAGATGAAAGTCTTCTCTACTAAACCAATTAAAAAAGATACGTACTTATCAAAAGCAAAAAAGTCTTTTAAGTAGTTTTCTCATTTCTTATTGAGGTTGGTTTAACTTAGAATTAGTATGCATAAGTGCTAGTGAGGTTGATTTGTATTTGTAGAATGTGCGTACTACACTGTTAATAGAATTTATGCAAATTGTGAGGTTTCAAGCAAAAACAAAAGAAAAAGAAATTAGAAGAAGATGTTTTTGGATTTCTGTTTGTATTGAGCTTAAGAGCTTAAGAGAGAATACAAGTACAGTAACACTTTTATAATGTTTAGATAACTAGAGCTGTAACTAACTAACCAGTAACTCTTAACTATAGTAACAAGCTACTCAAGCACTAACGGCTTAGCTAACCATTCACCCTTTGGTAACATTTTCCATCAAACAAGACTCGGATTGTTATTTTGACTTTTACCAACATCTTGTTATTTTGACCTTTACCAACATCTTCCCTCAAACAAGACTGGGATACAAGACTTTACCAATATTTTCCCTCAAACAAGACTTCTGGGATTTACCATTTCTCTCAAACATCTGAAAGATCTGATCATCAAATTAAGAAATCTAATCATCAACTAAAATTCTGATCAGCAAATTTAGAGAACAAGACTCAACTTAGCTTCAATATGCAATTAAATTCAGAGAACAGGACTCAAGTCAGCTTCAATATTCAACTCAGCTGCAATTATGCAGGAAATTATCCCTTAGCAACTGTAGAAAGTTAGCAGTTGCACACAGAACATCAGAATAAAAAGTAGGACTTGGCTTCAATAAGAAAGGAACATCTGATCATCAACTTCAGAAGTCAACTCAGCTTTAATGTGCAAGAAATTAGTACTTAGCTATTGTAAGCAAGAAACATCTGATTATCAAATTTAGAAAACAAACTTCAACTCAGCTTCAATGTGCAAGAAATTTGCACTTAGCTGCTGTAAGCAAGAAACATCTTATCAGCAAATTCAGAAAGCAGAACTCAACTCAGCTTCAATGTGCAAGAAATTAGCACTTAGCTGCTGTAATTCAGTCCAAGTCAATTAGCAGTTAGCTATTAGCACTTAGCTGCTGTAATTCAGTCCAAGTCAATTAGCAGTTAGCTGTTAGCACTTAGCTGCTGTAATTCAATTCAAGTCGATTAGCACTTAGTTGCTGTAATTCAATCCAAGTCAGAGCAGCAATACACCACAACACCAACACAATCAGTAATCATAAAATCAGTATTTTGCTTGTAGCAGTTTGTAAAGATAGAGTTTACTTTGTCAACTTGATGCAGAAGAGCTAGAGATAGAATCAGTTATAGCAGCAGAAGTAGTGACATTGAGTCTATCTCTGAGCAATTCAAATCTGGAAGTGGATAGAGATTTGGTGAAGATGTCAGTTGGTTGATGCTCAATAGGAACACACTGAACTTTGACAAAATTAGAAGCAACTTGTTCCCTAATGTAATTGCATCTAGTTCAATGTGTTTTGTCCTAGCATGGTAAATTGGATTGGATGAAAGGGATCCTGCACTTTGATTGTCACACCAAATCACTGGTATTTCAAGAAAAGTGACACCCATTTCAGAGAACAAGCTTCGAAACCATGCTAACTCAGTTGATCCTTGTGCAAGTGCTCTGTATTCTACAAAACAAAGCAACTACTTTTTGCTTGCCTGAGCTCCATTGCAATAAATTTGAGTCAAGGAACAAAAAACACCCACTTGTGGACGTTTTATCCTGAATGTCACTTGCCTAGTCAACATCAATGAAGCATTCCAGATGAAATCTAGAAATTTTATTGAATTGGATACCAAAATTTGAAGTGCCTTAGAGGTATCTAAGAAGCCTTTTGCAAGCTTGCCAATATAGTTGAGTTGGAGCCTTAAGAAATTGGCTTAATTTGTTTACAGAGTATGCTATATCAGGCTGAGATAATGTGAGGTATTGAAGGACTCCAATGGTGCTTCTATAAAGAGCTAGTTTGTCAAAAAGATCACAATCTTCAAAGGTTAATTTGTTGCCAACTGCCATAGGTGTTGAACATGGTTTGGAATCCATCATCCCAGTCTTAACAAGGAGATCTTTAGCATATTTAGCTTGACTCATATATAGACCTAAACCATTTTGGTGAACCTCAAAACCTAGGAAGTATTTGAGTGACCCCAAAGTTTTCAAAGCAAACTCAATATTCAGCTTATGAACAATCTCACCAACCAAACTAGCATCAGGACCTGTCAAAAGAATATCATCTACGTAGACAATAACATACATCACTTGATTGTTCTGTATATATATGAAAAGACTAGAATCTACCATAGAAGCAACAAAACCCTATTTGAGAAAGGCATTTTTTAGCTCATTAAACCAGGCTTGTGGAGCCTGTTTGAGACCATAAAGAGCTTTGATAAGTTTACACACATAAGAGGATTCTTAGAGTCAACAAAACCTTGAGGCTGAGTCATATAAATTGTCTCACTAAGTTCCCCATTCAAAAATGCATTATTAATATCTACTTGTTGTATATCCCATCCATAAATGACAGCTAGGCTTAAAAAAACCCTAATAGTAGATGACTTAATGATTGGACTAAAAGATAGTCAATTCCAAGGGTCTGTTGGAAGCCCTTAGCAACTAACCTGGGTGTAAACCTCTGTATGGACCCATCTGAGTTGTGTTTAATCCTGAACACCCATTTATAGCCAACAATATTCATATGAGGCTCAGTTGGTACAAGCTCCCAAGTGTTGTTAGACACTAAGGCAGTAAATTCATTGTGCATGGCAGCCTTCTAGGAAGGAGGAGAGAGAGCTTCAGATACACTAACTGGTTTTATTGTGTCAAGATGTGAAAATGTAGGTGTGGAGGTGACTAGCATAGAGTTGTGAGTTTTGGTTTTGGATCATGTAAGCATAGGATGAGTATTAATAAGATGAGGGTGAGGATCAAAAGGAATGTCAACTTTGAGATAAATACCATCAAGAGAGGATTTTGGAAAGTTGGAAGATTGGTTATCAAAAGATAACTCAACAGCAAGGTGAATAGAGTCAAGAGATTGATCTGTGAAGGTAGGTAAGTGATTTGTGAGATTAGAGGATATCCCGAGATCTAAGGCAGCGGGTGAAGGGGATGTAGTTTCAATGAGTTGATCTATGGAGGTAAAATGGTTTCGTGAGCTAGATTGGGGTGACATATTCAAATTTAAATAATGTTGAGGTGCTAAAGACTCAATATTATGGTTTGGCAAACTGAAGTGAGTAGGTAAACTAGATTGAGGTAACATATCTATAGTTGAATTTTGCTTATCAATTAAGGATGATAATGGAAAAGTAGGAGACAATTGCTGATCAATTGGGGGTGATAATGGAGAAGCAGGAGACAAAGGAGACACAGGATCATGGAACTGACCATTTGACTGAGTAGTTGGATGGACTAAAAGAGGATTAGCAAGCAGATAAGAATTTGATAAAGAAAAGGAAAAGTGATTAACAGGTAAATCGGACATGCAATTAGGTAAACGAGAAGGAGAAGTATCGTTGTGATTAGAAGAAGAAATTTAAGCAAATGGAAAATAGAATTCATCAAATTTAACACTAGAACAAATATAAGTCTTGCCATTAGAGTCCAAACATTTGTATCCTTTGTGATGCAAGCTATATCCAACAAAAATGCATTTAGTAATACGAAAATCAAATTAATGAGCATTATATGGTCTAGTAAAAGGATAGGCTGCACAACCGAAAACTCTAATGGCTGAACAATTTGTAATTTTACTAAACAAAACTTGAAATGGAGAACAATTGGACAGAACAAGAGTAGGCAATCTATTAGTAAGAAAAGATGTTGTTTTAAATGCCAACCACCAATGTTTTAAGGGCATACTAGCTTGAGCCAACAATGTGAGTCCTTGTTCAACTATTTGTATGTGTTTCCTTTCCACTCTTCCATTTTGTTGGTAAGTGTAGGGACATGGATGGCAAAAGAGAATGCCATGAATAAGAAAATAAGATACTAGGCTTCAGTACTCACCTTCCCAATCAGTTTGGACACATTTTAGTGGTATGTTGAACTGTCTCTCAACTAGCTTATGAAATTGTTTAAAGACACTTTGTGTTTCAAATTTAACTTTCAAGGGAAATATCCAAGTAAACCTACTATAATCATCTAAAAATTGGATCTAGTACTTTAATCCTTCAGGGGATAGGACAGGTGATGGTCCCTAGAGGTTAGAATGGACTAACTCCAAAGGTTTGGTAGCTCTAGAGTTAGACCTAGGAAATATGGACTGATGCAGTTTGCCAAACTGGCATGCTGTGTAGAAATCAAAAGCACTTTTAACTTGGTGATTTAATTTCAAAGAATGCAGTATTTTTGCAAGAACGGTTGCATAAAGTGACCTAGTCGTCTGTGCCATAGTAATCCACTGGTTTTTTCAACAGATAAAGCTTGAAACAAAGCACTTTTATTATCAATAGCAGATGCATTACATGTAGATACAAAAGTTGGGATATAGAGCAACATTATTATCATCTAGAGTTTTAGAAACACAAACTACATTATTATCATAATTGGAACAACATGTTGAACTAAATGGTGGCAAAGACAATTTAAAGTCTGTAGCAGAAGAGTTGAAAGCTGAGCTTGAAGACTTCGAAGAAGCAACAAGCAGATTTGAAGTTGAAGTTGAGGAAATATCTGGAATTTGTAGTTGGTATAGGCCAACTTTAAGCTTTCCTTGAAGTAGAATAGTTTTGGATTGTTTGTCCTTTACCATACAACAATCAGCAAAGAATTCAACTATAACGTTATTATCCCTAGTGAATTTAGAGATGCTTAACAGATTCTTTGTAATATGTGGCACTCATAACACATTTTTGAGGTAAAGAGACCTAAAGGACCTAGAGTTCCAAGGTAATATAGTAAGACTAATATGGGATATAGGAAGTAACTCACCATTGCCAACCTAGAGCTACTAATTACTAGTGTAGTTTGAGTTCAGAGTCAACTAAGACAGGTCTAAGGTAACATGGTCTATGGCTCCAAAATCCATGTACCAAGAGGCATCCTAGACCATGGAAGGTGTGGTAGTGTAGTTAGCTCCATGAGTGAGATAGTGTTGAGCTTGTGCTTGAGATGGGGTGTTGAGCTTGTGCTTGAGATGGGAACACTTGATTGTTAACACCAGATGCACCAGCTTGAGCTCCTGTATTTGACTGAGGATGCTCTAAGGATGAAGCAGATGTTGTGGAGAAACCATTTTGAGTAGGATGCTAAGGTCCAGTGTTAGAGTAAAAAGAAGAGGGAAAGCCAGTTTGTGCATTGATTTGAGGACTTATATTATGGCTAGTAGAGAATTGTGGAAAGTGTTGAGGAGAAAAGTTCATTCCTTGGAATAACTCTGGAGATCTGGAATAGTTCTGCATAAAATTGTTCCTAACAAATGAAGTATTTCCTCCCGTGAAGCTAACATAAAATCTATGATAACAGCTTAATGGCAGATGTCCAACCTTGCCACTGACCTAACATATGAATTTCCTTGACCTACTCCTCTGCCTTTTCCTCTGCCACTGGTAAACTAAGCAGGATAGAACTGATTTTGTGGTACAAATTGAGTTGGTCCAATGACAAATTGTTAAGGAGTATAAGTTGAGGCTGAAAAACCAGGAGATTGCATAGCGAAGTAAGAGTGTCCATGGGAGATTGTCCAAATTTAAGCTAAGATAGGTCACTCTGATAGTTCTTATTATTCAAATCAATTGAGACATTGGCAAGGTGAACTAAGCTTCCATGAAATTCATTGTTAATCACTAAATTCATTGCTAAGTTTTCTTTTTCTAATCTGAGCTTAAGCTTTTGTAAGATTATTTGAGCTTCTTGTATTGTAAGAGGATCTAGCTTAGACTCCAGTTGCATGGTGATATTCACTACAGTAGTATCGTATTCTGAATTAAGACCATCTAGAATGTAATTTATCAGCTCTTCATCAGTAACCGTTATTCCATTTGCTGTCAAATTTTTAGCAAATCTTTTCATTTTGACAAAGTATTCATGGATATTAAGATTTTCCCTTTTAGTATTTTTGCAGTAAGGTTTTAACATGCAACATTCTTGTTCTTGACTTAGTAAGAAATTCCTTTTCTAGAGTCAACCACATATCGACAGAATACTAACATTTAGAGATTACTATGAACATAGATTCAGAAATTGAGCTAAGAAGCTAGCTTACTAGTAGCTTATCAGTCTTCTTCCACTGATTGTATTCCGGATTATGTTTTTTCTTAGTCACTCCATCAGATACTTTAGCTTGAACTTTGACAAACGGAGTTGGAGATGCAATCAATCTGGTGAGATGTTCTTCTAAATCATGAGAACCAACCGCAAAGAGGACTTGTGATTCCAAAATCTATAGTTATTCCTAGTCAATTTGGGGGAAATAACAAGAAGAGATGAAGAAGACATTGACTTTGCAAAATTGACTGGTTCAGTAATCACTTGAATGCTTGAATTGTTCTACAAAGATGATAAATGTGATAGATCAACCATCTTAGACGTTTGTCGATGGCTCTAATACCATGTGAGGTTTTGAGCAAAAACAAAGAAAAAGAAATTAGAAGAAGATGTTTCTGGAAATTTGTTTGTATTGAGCTTAAGAGCTTAAGAGAGAATACAAGTATAGTAACACTTTTATAGTGTTTTGATAACTAAAGCTATAACCAACTAACCACTAACTCTAACTATAGGAACAAGCTACTCAAGCACTAACGGCTTAGCTAGCCATTCACCCTTTACTAACACAAATGATAAGTTTCTTGCTACATATACATTGGAGTTGTCACTTCATTGTTTTCGGGTTCTTTTGCTTCATTTGTTTCACATTCTTTATCTTCCTTATGATTTTTCATCTTCCTAGAACCATAAGTGTTTTCTTCTTCTTCTTCTTCTTCTTTATTACTTGTTCATCTGATTGCATTTCATGTCCAATTTTTGAGTCTTTTTTAATGCTTCTTCTTTTTATTTATTTTATTACAATTTTTATCCTTATACTAGGGGCTACTAATAAAATTAGTGGAGTGGGAAATTCACTTACTTTGTAATGTTGACTTTAATAGTTTCCCTTATTTGTCAAACTTCACACTTTGCCCCCTAAATACGATTTCCTTCTATTCCACCCATGATCACTAACCTTAATAACAAATTGTGCTATTATCATTTGGCAAATGAAGGAAAATGAAATTTCCGTTCTGTGATCTTAATTAATTACAATTCTCAAATTTGAATTGATAAATTTTATATTAAACACTATGGATTGGATTAATCTTTCTGGTAGGCATATCTAATTCTCTCATTTTTTGAATCTATTCGATCCAGATCCAATGAACGATTTACAGTTATGATAAAGACACTAAACTAAGCTAAACCGAAGAAGAATCAATGAAGAGAGTGTGTAGAGAAATCTAGATTTTCATTAACTAACTAATTCAGGTAGTACAACATTTTTATACAATTCTTATAAGACCAAAACACTACCGTTTTGATATTCCAACCTAGTGCTTTTACAAAACTAACACACACTAGTATACTCTTTACCTCAATATCTTCCTGTAAACTGGACTATCTTCTTTTCTTTTATCTCAATATCTTCCTTCAAACTGAACCACCACAATACATTTTTATCATTCTTTTCCTGCTACATTTTTATCACATCAGCTGCTGGATTGTAATAGTCTTGCCCTATTGTGCTATTTTTCACCATTTCAGTAGCTACATTACAACTCATTCCAGTAGCTATATTTTTGACACATTATTTTGACACATTACAGCCAATATGTTTACCATTCCAGCAAGCTACATTGTAACAAATTCCAACCAATATGTTCACCATTTTAGCAGCTACATTACAACACAATCCAAGTAGTATCATTTACTCAGTTAATTCAGACACAACATTCAACTTTTCCTATAGCAAACTAAACCTGTGAACAGAGAGTGCAGTTGCTGCCTGACTTAATGCCCTATATTCAGCTTCGGTGTAGTATAAAGAGACAACTTTCTGCTTTCTAGAACTCCATTGGACCAGATTATCACCAAGAAATATAGCATATCCACTTGTAGATCTTCTATTGTTTATATCACTTGCCCTATCAGCATCAGCATAAGCTTCAAGACGAAAGTGTGAATTTTGTTTAAAAATAAGTCCATGATGAAGAGTTCCTTTGACATACCGCAGTACCCTTTTGCATGCTGTCCAAAGAGCCATGGTTGGACTTTGAAAAAACTGATTTAGCTAGTTAATTATGAAGGCTAGGTCAGGTCTGGATAAGGTTAGATACTGCAATCCTCCTATGATGCTTCTATACAAAGTAGGTTGTTCAAACAACTCCCCATTATCCTTGCTAAGTTTAGTACCAACTACCAGGGGAACAAGACAACGGTTATAATCCTCCATTCTAGCTTTTTCAAGTAGTTCTTGAGCATATTTGTTTTGGGTTAGAAGAAGACCAGAACCATTCCTTTTTACATCAAACCTGAGGAAGTAGTACACTGGACCCATGATTTTAAGAGCAAACTAACTATTGAGGTCTTGAACTACCTTTGTAATAAGCTCATTGTTATTCCCTGTAACCAAAATATCTACATACACCAATGATAATCATATTTTCTCCTATGATTTTGCATTGAATTTCGATAGGATTTAGGATACTTCTCATACAATTTGGGTCATAATTGCTACCTAATTCTATTAATTTTTCTTTGCAGGCCTAAACGATGATTTTAAGCATAAATAATAGTTTTGAGCGTAAATTGCGTAACTTGAGCTTGGAAACTCGAAATGACCTGAATTTAAAGGCTTTAGAAAGCTAAGAAGTAGAGCTACAACTTTCATATTTTTGGTTTTTCCTAATTCTGACTGGACAAGGGTAAAAACTTGGCTTGAAGTCGTAAACAGTACGTTGGGAACTGAAGAAAAACGTTTTTGGACGTGCTTCAGTATTTTTGCCATAACTTGAGCTGAAGACCTTGGATTGGGCGTATTCATAAACGACTAGAAAGATAATTAAAAGGGCTACAATTCATATGTCTACCACTTTTCCAGATTCAAAATCTATCATGCTCAAATTTGGCCCAAAAGATCCTCGCCGCGGCAAGGAAAAATATTCACCGCAGCAAAACTGCGTCAGATGTGAAAAATAAAACGACACGTTTTGGCTTGCTAGGGCTTGGTCCTTAAGTGAAAGAGGTATAAATTAGCACAAAAAGGAAGGAAAAGGGTCTTGGTTCATCATTTGGGAGGCAGCTCATGGAAGGAGAAGATTATTGAAGATTTGGGTTTCAAATCAGAGAAGATTTATCAATCTTTTGCTTGTTTTTCAATGATGAACCTTGATTTAGTTTGTTTTTGTTATTTTGTTTTGTTTTTTAGTATGAACTGAGTTTTTTAGCTAGGGTTTGATGTAACTTTGATACAATGATTCAAATTTATATATTTTGAATTACTTTGAGTTTCAATTTCATGATTGAGTGTTAATCTCTTTGCTTAACGACTTTTAGATGCTTGATCATCATTCAAATGTATGTTGTTCACAATGAGACTGAGAAGTGATTTGTGACTGTGCCTCTTGGGATAAATACTATAGATTAAGCGAAAACCAGAGATAGATAAACACGATCTATGAAATCTAGATAGAATTCCATAAAGCTTAAGAGACTTTGAACTATTAATCTTCATTTTGTTGGGTGCAGAAGCTTAGCAGGGATAAGTAGGAAAATATAGCCTGAGAATGTATGTTTTACAACTTAGGGAATTCGATTTTCAATCAAGGAATTAGAACTTGGGTAATAGATTCTATGATTTGGGTTAGCATATCTAGGTGAAATCAACATCCTAGCATTTTTTAGCATTTGTTTAATTAGTTAAGTTGTTGGGTTTTGCTTTAATTTCATTATCATTCTTTTATGTTTTGTTAATTTGTATTTAGTTTGTTAATTTTCCATCAATCCAATTTATTGTTGCTTCAATTAGGACTTAAACTAGAGAAATCGGTACTTAGTAGCACTATCCTTATGGGAACGATACTCTACTTATCACTTTATTACTTTTTACAACTAGTGCACTTGCTACACAATTGCATATTGTAAAATCATTGCATCAACCAACAAATACATTACTGTAGGGGTGAGCACGGGTAGCGGGTAGAACTGGAACCTAGGGGTAGAGCCGGAACCGGAAACGACACTATGCGGGTAGGTTCCGGTTCCATTTTATTGGAACCAACACTGTGTGGTTCCGGTTTCGATTGGAGGAACCGGAATCGGAACCGGAACATGGAAAAAGAACCGATTTTTGGAACCTGTTTGGAACCTGTTTTAGAACCTGTTTGGAACCTGTTTTGGAACCTGGACTGCAATGAAAATATGAAATATTTGTGAAATGTGAATAAAGAATAATGAGGGGTTTCTATTATTTTACATATAAAAAAATTTAAAATAGAAAAAGTTAAATTTTTAGAATAACCTAATTAAATAAATATACAATTATACTTATTACATATAAATTACACCATATTAAAAACTTTAATATATTATAATATATTAATATTAAAGTTTTGATTAATTAAGTGAATAATTGGAATTATGATCTAATTAAAAGTGTTTTAATGTTATTAAAAGAATTATTTTTGAATAAAATAGTATATTTGATTGAATAATAATATATTTAATTATTTACTTCAATTATCAAGTTCTAAGTATATCTATAGTAAATTCGCAATTAATTAATTATATATGATAAATTGATAAGCATTAATAAATTTAATTACTAGTTAAATATCATACTTAATCAATTATAATATTACATTATAATTAAATGATTACTTAATTAATTATAATTTTATAACATTACTTAATTGATTTATAGTATAATTAATTATAGTATTACATTAATTGATTACTACTTAATTAATTGACTTATAAGTTATAACATTTAGTATATTACTTAATTAAATAATTAAAAATTTAATTAATTATAGCATTACATTATAGATTTATAGTATAATTACTTAATCAATTATAACATTTCATTATAAACATTAGTACAAACTTAATTGAATGATTAAAATTTTAATTAATTATAATATTATATTAAAAATTTATAGTATGATTACTTAATTCACCATAACATTACATTATAGTATGATTACATAATTAATTATAATATTACATTATTAAATGATTACTTAATTGATTATGACATTATATTATAAATATTAGTAATTACTAATTTACTACATAAACATTACTACATTAGCACAATACTTAATTAAATGATTAGAAATTTAATTAATTACAATATTACATTATAAATTTATAGTACGATTACGTAATTAATTGTAACATTACATTATAATTAAATTATTACTTAATTAATTATAACATTGAAACATTCTATTATAAGCAAATTAATTATAATATTATATTGAAGATTTATAGTATGATTACTTAATTCATTATAACATTTCATTATAGTATGATTACATAATTAATTATAATATTACATAATTAGATGATTATTTAATTGATTATGAAATTATATTATAAACATTAATTATAACATTACATTATAAATAAATTATTAGAAATTTAATTAATTAAACATTACATTATAGTTAAATAATTATTTAATTAAATTATAACATTGTTACATTACATTATATTATGATCACTTAATTAATTATAGTATTACATAGTTAAATGATTACTTAATTAGTTATAAATTTATAGCATTACATTATAAATATTAATATTTTACTACATTATTATATTACTTAATTAAATGATTAAAAAATTAATTAATTATAATATTATATTAAAAATTTATAGTCTGATTACTTAATTCACTATAACATTACATTATAGTATGATCACATAATTAATTATAACATTACATAATTAAATAATTACTTAATTGATTATGACATTATATTATAAACATTAGTAATTACTAATTTATTACATAAACATTAGCAATAGCACAATACTTAATTAAATGATTAGAAAATTAATTAATTATAACATTACATTATAAATTTATAGTACGATTACTTAATTAATTGTAAAATTACATTATAATTAAATGATCACTTAATTAATTATAACATTTTATTATAAACAAATTAATTATAAATTTATAATATTACATTAAAGATTTATAGTATGATTACTTAATTCATTGTAACATTTCATTATAGTATGATTACATAATTAATTATAACATTACATAATTAGATGATTATTTAATTGATTATGACATTATATTATAAACATTAATTGTAACATTACATTATAAATAAATGATTACTTAATTAAATGATCAAAAATTTAATTAATTAAGCATTACATTATAGTTAAATAATTACTTAATTAAATTATAACATTATTATATTACATTATATTATGATCACTTAATTAATTATAGCATTACATAGTTAAATGATTACATAATTAGTTATGAATTTATAACATTGCATTATAAACATTAGTAATTTACTACATTATTACATTACTTAATTAAATAATTAAAAATTTAATTAATTATAACATTACCTTATATATTTATAGTATGATTACTTAACAATTATAACATTCCATTATATCCATTAGTATATTAATTAAATGATTAGAAATTTAATTAATTACAATATTAAATTATAGATTTATTACTTAATTCATTATAAAATTTGTTAAGGGTGTATTTGTAAACTTTTAAGGTATTTTTGTCATTTTTTAAACTAATAGGGGGTTGATTGATTTTTTATAGGGTACCTTCCGGTTCCTTGAATTTAAGAACCTGCACTGTGCAGTTCCGATTCCGGTTTCTCTTTTTGGGAACCTACACTATGCGGTTTTGGTTCTGATTCCTCCGAAAAATACAGGGTACCTGGAACCGCTCACCCCTACATTACTATAGATGCATTTTTATAAAAGAACAAACTAGTATTAGATGTGCTATTATGAAGACGCCAAGTCAAAAGTGCAGTTTTCAATTTATCAAACAAGGCCTTAGGGGCTTGTTTGAGACCATATAATTCTTTTTGGAGTTTGCAAACCTATTGAGGTTGAGTGAGAGGAGAAAAACCTTCTGATGGCATCATGAACACTTGCTCCATGAGTTCCTCATTGACAAATGCATTGTTTACATCTAGTTGATGAATTTCCCAATTGCTATGAACTACAAGAGAGAACATTATGTGCATAGTGGCTGCCTTTACTACTAGAGAGAAGGTATCAAAGTAATCTAAACCAGGAGTTTGTTAAAACCCCTTAGCCACCAACCGGGCTTTATACTTTTTGTAATGATCCATCTTAATTGAGTTTCGTTTTAAGCACCCATTTACATCTCACTATATGCATACCATCTTCATAAGGTACCATTTGCTAAGTCATGTTATTCAACAAGGCATTATATTCACTGTCCATGGTTTCTTTCCATTCAGGAACTGCTAAGGCCTCTTTGACAGTCTTAAGTCCTTTGAGAATGACTTGTGTAGACAAGAA